TAGTTACATTTATTTTTTACAAGGATTTTTAGTTTTTTGAATAACTAAAGTTTTAGAGTTTTTGAGTTCGTTTTAAGTGAGTTATGTAAGTTAGGAGTATTATAAGATTTCAAAATAAACTCAAAGAATAACCTTTTAAAATGATTCAGTTCATCATTTTAGTATGATTTTTTCTGTTGAGATTTTGATTGATGTTGAGTTTTAATGGATTTTTGTTACAGTTGAAGTTTTTACAGTTTTTTGTACAGATTTTAAGTCATTCAATTTTTAGTTGTTTTGTCTTTTTATCCTACAGTTTTTAATATTTTATAAGTTCTCCTTAATTTTTGAGTTTCAGAAAGTTTTCCAGCTACTTTAAAACTTTTAACTTTTATAAAATCTTGAAATTGTTTTGATTATATTTTTAGATATAGATAAAATTTTGGTGGTTGTTTCTTTGATTGTAAATTTTTGACATAATTTTCGAATTCTAAAAAATATAATTTATGGTTTAAGTCAACGTAATAAAATGAGATGGCTGAGTGTTGGGCCGAAATATCGATTTCGGCTAAGTCTTTTCTAATAAACCGGCTAACTAATGAATAGAATATACATTAGTTAGCTGGCTAGATACGATTAGATACTAGCTGACTAGTGAATATAATATTCTTTAGGTAGGTAATAGTTTTTATATTCCTTAATATTTAAATTTTATTTTTGTTAATATTTTTATTAAAATTCGTTCTTTTAATTTTTACAATGATGTTTTTATTAAGAATATTAAGCATTTAATTATATTAAGTATTTAATAATGTGTTCTTTTTTTTATGTAATAAAATTATTTCAAAAATCATGTGCGAGTGGTTATAATGTGCATCTTATAATTTCCTTATTGGTTTAAAGAAAGTGAGAACAGCGAAGATTGAATTAAATAAGAAGAGCTAGACATGCTGCTAAGTCAAAGAACGATTTTGTTTCTTGAAAAAATGTTACTCCACGTTTTCAATTTTGAAATAAATTTTTATTAAAATAAAGTCGTTTTTTTAATTTGGAATAACTTCATAGTCTTGAACGTTATATTACAATATAATTTAGCAAATGTTATTATTTTATATTTATATACTAATATAAAACGCCCTCATTTTTGTGTCGAACATACCCGTAGTAGACATAACTTTAGACCTAACTTCTTATCAAAATTTATATAAAAAACAAAACTTTTATCAGAGGATCTTTTAGAGGCTACAAGTCGAATATTTGCAGAGAATGACAATACACAAACCACTGATCTCAAAATATAACTCAAAACTGGTCTTAAAATATATGTTTTTGTAAAACATTGATCTCAAAATATAACATATATTTTGAGTTATATTTCGGTGATTATATTTCAGTTATGAGTTATATTTCGTATTATAGATCAGTGACATAAACCTACAGAAGTTTTATTTTTGTACCAAGTTATCTAGTAAACCTAAAAAAAGTTGGCTAAACATTGCAAAATTTAGTAAAATAAAAAAACCATCATAAAATGTTCTATTTTATTTTTTGTTAGTGTACTTTTATCACTTTCTTTTAAGTATTAAATGACATTTTTCACCCAACCGTTTAATTACTATAAAATAGTTATCAAATCAGATCTAAAATAATTTGCAAGGTAAAAAAAAAAACAAATTTAAGAACGTATACGGTGTTCTATAATATTTACGATTCCGAAAAATTAACATGAAAGATTTTCTTATTGTCGACAAAATGTTCAACACTTTTTGCATGCTTTATTACCATGCAATACCGAGATTAAAGTTCATATTATAGATATGCATACTTCAGAAATATAGCAAATAAACTATGCTTATAAGTTTATCCCTGACATCAAGGTTGTTGTATAAGGCTTATTTTCCATTTATATATTAGGACTCAAGGTAAAATCAAGTTGTCGCTAATAGCTTTATGAAGACAGTATTAGCCATACCAGCCGACGGTATATAAATCCGCAATATCACTTATACCTAAATATAAGCATCAAAAATTAAAAAAATTCATTTTTTGTGCAGCAACACAAAAACATGTTCCACTAACTAAATTTAAAAACTAAATTTCAGTCTATGATCTATTTTTAAAGCCAAAGTGCATCAATCCCCAAAATAAAACAGGATAAATTAAATTTAGATTCTACTCTCTATAATCATATATAAAAAATAGTAAATATGAACATGGTTAAGTTATTTTAGTTATTACTTAAGTCTAAAATATTTCACAACAGCATACTGTAGTACTTATCGTTCCTTTTCAAGAACGCATTCACTAAGAGTAAAAATTTTAAATATATCAGTAACGTCAAGTTAAAAACAGTGATTAAAAACAAGTCAAGTTAAAACAGTGGTTGATATTGGTAGGGTTTTAAAGCTATTTTGTCCTCTCCTCCCTCCCCCCAGCGTTGCTAATATAAAGAGTATAGATAATTTTATGTTTGAGATAAGGTGTGACAAAGATAAAAGTAAATAAAAGCGGAGGAAAACGT